TAGTAGTGGTCGTAGCACCGCTGGCAGCTAGAAGTGGTGAATGAATATGGCGACCCATATAACCTTTGCCTTGACGACCTGTAGTTGGGGCACGAGTACCACTGTAAGTGCCAGACTCTCGAGAACTCTTAGCCTCTCTCTCCTCTCTATACCGAGTCAGCATGCCCTCTAACCTCCTAGCAATCCCCACTACCTACTGATATGCAGTATCCGTCTCCAACTCTTGGGCCAAGCTCAATCTAATGCTGGGGTTGAGCCCCTCAATAAACCGAAGAACCCGCTCCCGAATAGTAGCAAGCAAGGTTGGTGCATGCCTGGCCAAATCACTGAATTGGACTGCATACTCTGACATGGTCATAGCACCCTGGCGCAACTGCTCAAACAATGTGCCCCAAGCATCTTTGAGACTCTGAGGAACATACTCCCTCAGGAATATATCTGAGAACTGAGTCCATGTGAGTGAAGCTTCCTCAGACGGACTATCCAACTCGTATGCGCGCCACCACTGATAGGTCGCCCCTCTAAGCTGGAACGTAGTGAAAGAAACCCCACTAGTCTCTGTAACACCCATAATACAGAGGATACAGTGGTACTCCTCAAGAAAACCCCAGGCATCCTCTTACGCCAAGCCACTGAAAGTAGGTGGGTGGTAGTTCTTGTACCTCTCGAGCCTGAGTTACTCTGCCTCAGAAGCTGCTGCCCTAACCTCAGGCTGAACAGGAGCTACCGGCTGTATCGGTATGATCTCTGAATCCTGGTCTACCTGAACTCACTACTCTGGGTACCGACGATGGGAGTTGGTGCTCCTCCCCCGGCCTAAGATGTGGCAGGAGCAAGAGGTATCAATCCTGCCTGAGCCAAAGTGTTGAACATGCTCCGAAACTGGGCTAGAGTCTCCTGGAGAGCTGGTATAGTAACAGGCATCTCAGGTACCTTCCCTCCAACTGGAGCTACTGGTAGCTCCTCTGTGGTAGCTCGTGTGGGTGCTCTGGCTGCACTACGTGGACGTCCTCGGCCTCTACCCCGGCCCTGGCCCCGACCTCTCACGGCTCTAGCATGGGGCACGGGTGTCTGATCGTCCGATCCAGCTGTAGGTATCCTCATCATCTGTGAGAGAATAGAAAGATAGAAGTTTAGAGTTTGAAGTCAAAGATCTCGCACAAGAAGGAATCAAAGAAAGTGAAACTTTTCCTAACAGTTCCATAGCCTCCCGAAGATAAGTACGGACGTCTCCGTACGGATCTGCGAGACTCTACTAAATCTGCTTGTGACTCATAACACCTATGAAACTAGAGCTCTGATACCAACTTGTCACGACCCCAATTCACCCTCCGTAGGATGTCGTGATGGCACCTAGTCTCTAAGACTAGGTAAGCCTAACAATTTGCGGAATAACATAATATGAAACTGAAACCCAACTCTCAACACATGAAATAATTACCAAACTGCAAATCAATAATTACAACTCCCAAAACCCGGTGAAAATAAGTCACAAGCTTCTAAGATCAAATACTAAGTGTCTATATACATCAGAGTCTAAAGAAAATAAGGAAACATAACATAGTAAGGATAGAGGGGGATTCCGAGGTCTGCAGACGCTGGCACTCGTCACCTCGCATACACGGCGCTCACATATCACAAATGGTTACAACAGTACCAAAACCTAAAGGGATTTCCCCCACACAAGGTTAGACAAGTCACTTACCTTAAATTTCGCTCAATAAGTTAAGTAGTATGCCTTTTCCTCGACTTTCCAATTCCGATCGGCTCGAATCTAGCCAAAATAATTTTATACTATAAATATAACTACAAGAAACTAATTTAAATAATGAAACTACGACTTTAGCAAAGAATCGAAAATTCGGCCCAAAAATTCGACCCGGAACCACGTCTCGAAATCGGGTAAAAGTCAAAAAAATACGAACAATCAATCGACCATGAGTTCACCCATACCAAAATTACCAAAATCCGACACCAAATCACCACTCAATTCCTCAAATCAACTCTCCAAATTCCTAACCTCAAACTTCTAATTTCCACTTTAAATACACACTAACTAGGTGGGAAAATCAATGGGAAAACAAGATTATTGATCAAAATTAAACACAAGGGACTTACCTCAAGAAACCTCTCGAAATTGCTCTCAAAAATAGCCAAGACCTGAGCTCAAAATGTCCAAAATGATAATAATCACGAACCCTTAATTTAATATAGTCTGCCCAGGCTTTCTGCTTTTGTGGACCCAATTTCGCTTCTATGGCACCGCTTCTGCGGGAAGTCTCTGCATCTGCGGAGTTCACTTAAGCTCCCCGATTCCGCACCTACACGCAAATGTCTGCATCTGCGGATGCGTTTCTGCGGTCCCTCGTCCGCTTCAACGGAAGCCTCCCCAAGCACTCGTCCGCTTCTGCGATCGATCCCCCGTAGAAGCGACTCCGCTTCTGCGGCCCTCACACCGCACCTGTGATCACTGGACAATTCCCCTAACCCCTCACATGTGCCCCATTTCTCACACCTACAGTCAGCCTTGCGCAAGTGCGATTACACCAGAACTAGCCCAGCACCTGAAAATCTTTTTTAAGTCCAAAAATGATCTGTTAACCATCCGAAACTCACCCGAGACCCCCCGGGACCTCAACCAAATATACCAACCAGTCCTAAAAAATTACAAGAACTTAGTCGCGCCTTTAAATCATATCAAACAACGCTAAAAACACGAATTACATATCGATTCAAGCCTAATGAACTTCAAAATTTCAAACTTCTACATCCGACGCCGAAACCTATCAAATCAAGTCAGATTGACCTCAAATTTTGCACACAAGTTATAATTGATAATACAGACCTATTACAACTTCCGTAATCGTAATCCGACCCTGATATCAAAAAGTTTACTCCCGGTCAAACTTTCCAAAATTTATCAAATTTTCAACTTTCGTCAATTGACGTTAAAATGACCTACGAACCTCCGATTTAACATCTGAACACGCTCCTAAGACCAAAATTACCTTACGGAACTATAGAAACCGTCAAAACTCTATTCCGAAGTCGTTTTTACATAGTTCTAACTATGATCAATTCCTATGACTTAAACCTCCATTTTAGGGACTATGTGCCCCATTTCACTCCGAAACCAAAAACAAATCCTCCCGGCAAGTTACATAACCACTAACTGAAGTAGAGGGAGAAATAAATAGGGATTCGGGGCTAATTCTCTCAAAATGACTGGCCAGGTCGTTACATGGCTCTTTCCCTGGGTGGATTGGCCTTATACAGTACTGAGTGACTGACTGTCAGTTGATTTATATATAAATGGGATGGATCTTCCCTAGGCTGGATTGGCCATATACAGTACTGAGTGATTGAGTATTTTGATATTATGAGTACATGAGGTTTCCACTGAGGTGCATAACATACAACAGGTACATTAGCATGTATATATAGAGATGCCATATTTTCTCATATCATTCAGGATTGATCCATTTTACTTGTAGTGAGTTTAAATGTTGAACATAAAAGCATGCCTACATTTTTGTACTGTTAATTCTATATTGGACTGTACCTGTTGAGCTCGTCACTACTTTTAGCCCAAAGGTTAGTCTTGTTACTTATTGAGTACATGGGGTCGGTTGTACTCATACTACACTCTGCACTTCGTGTGCAGATCCAGGTACTTCCGGATACGGTGGTTGCTAGATTTTGGAGTTTTATCTGTTGGAGACTATCGAGGTAGTTGCTTGGCGTCCGCAGACCTTGTCTCTCTTTCCTTTCAGTTGTTTGTACTGTTCTATATTTCCAGACAGTGTTTTATCAGTCAGACTATACTATCATTTAGATGCTCATATACTCAATGACACGGAATTTTGGGAGTGTATTTATATAAGTACTTGCGAGACTTTCTATTGAATTTAAATATTATGTCTTCAATCTTAAAAGAAATTGTGGCTTATTGAGGTTATCGACTTGCCTAGTATTGAGATAGGCGTCATCACGATATGCGAATTTTGGATCATGACAATAAGAAAGCATTAGATGAGATCATTACATGTAAACCTATAAAATCAAAATAAGTAAGAAAACATATGTATCTAATTAAAATGTAATTGTTCATCTTCGTACATTTAGATAATATCCAATCATCTTGACTATGACAAACAAGTCATCATACAACAATCAACATTAATCATTTTCAGAAACTAGCACTTTATTCTTTTGTGTATCATTATTTATTAAACTCTTTATTTTGATAATATTGATAGTATTTTGTGAAATTATTTACAATATGACTCGGTATACACGTGCAACGCACGTGCCGATAAACTAGTTTATACAAAAATACAATGTGTTTGAGTGAATTTGTACATAATATAATGTATTTGTATCATTGTATGTGACTAAATAGCAAAGAAAAGAAGAAAATTCGTCGGATATGGCGTTTTCCTGCCAAGAAGAGAAGAAAGTTTGTCGGATCCATACAGAATACAGTATTTGTCGTTCACGTTACAGTACCCATGCTCTATTCGGATTATTCCGACATCGTTTTTGCTCCGTGTGCAGTGGCCCTAGCCTTAGATCGACAAGCCCCTCCTTGCTATTGGGGAATCTGATTTTGAGGAAAAAGGTCTGTCTTCCCCTTTTTCTCCCAACAATTTAGAAGTATCGTGTGTTAATTGAAAGAAAGAGAGGAAAAACATAAATAGCGTATTTCATGCCTCAATGGTAGTATATACCATAAATACCTATTTTGCTATAAAATATAAAAGTTAGCTATAGAAAATAATATTTTAAAATGATTTTGGTTTATAACAAATAGGGTGTATACCTTTGCTATAGTGGTAAAATTTCCAAATTTCAACATTCATCCAACAATTGGACAAAGAATTTGGCCAATCTACGTTTGATTAGCCTTAACTCAACACAAGTGAGCCTTTATTTCTATGGGCCAGTTTTCTCCCAAGTGTAGAGATAGGTACAATGGTGACAGGTCCAAACTCAAAATGTCCATATCTAATCAAGATCCAAATGCATAAAATGGTAGAAACAGCCACATTCGAGATCCAAATGCATACAATGATAGAGACAGCCACATTCGAGCTAAGACAAAATAATTGAAACAAATTATTACTGCGACAGAAGAGAAGCATTACAATAAAACATTAAAACCAAGTGCGCTATACATACATCTATTTTGAGCAGGTGCACTTTGAACACCTGCTCATTCCATATCCATAATAAAATAAATCATTTGCCCTCCTTAGGCCTGATATCAATCCCTTCCACAATTAAGCCACTTTTCCAGTTACCTCCCTTCAACTCTGTCAAGCTCATCTCCAGTTCAGCGTCTTGCCCCCTCTTGACAAAGAATTCTCCCAATTCAATTTCCATCCACCCATCACTTCTCTGCTTCGGATAACGGCCTTCCGATTCATAGGGTGTATCCACTTCGTGTCTCAATATATGAGCCATGTGGTGGGTGAATATTCCTAAGCGTCTCGGGACTACTTGGTACCTGTGTCTCCGACCTCCCTGTCCCTGAGGGTCCAAATAAACTGTGTGTGTTTCCCTTTCATGCCCATTAATACCTACTGAGCTCTCTGCAGCTTGGTTTCCAAATCCATAGGTCCTGGATTTTGTCATGAAGACGAGGTAAGCGCCATATCTAGTGTCAGCTGAGAGCATATTGGTGTTTATTTTGCCAGAAAGGTCAAACCAGCACACATCAAGAAGCTCAGCAACTTCTGAGAACCTATTTCCATATACACAAAATAATGAAAAAAATGATGCTTTATCTCCTAAAAAGATCTCCAACAGTTAGAAATTAAAAGTGCTCCAATCAACTTGTGATTTGAAATACCTGGACTCCGGAAGGGAAATCCATCTCCAATATCTAGGCGTGTCAGCCCAAACAATCTTAAGCGACCTTGCGGCTAACATGTAACATGTCTTTCCACTCCATTTCTCCAATGAGAAGCTCTGATTTGTATCAACAGTAGGTCAGATGGATACTTAGCAAGTAAGTAACAAAGTTAAGCATAACATGGTGGGTCTAAGCAGAGAAAGCAAGAGTAAAATGAGCTACTATATCACATGTGGACCAAAATTCAAAAGCAAAAAAGATCAGGTTGTAGCAGAAAAGAGAAAATGTCATTTCCATGATATTGTTATGTATTTAAGGCTTGATGGTGGAGCCACACTATCTACAAGTGGGGAAAACCGGTCCCATTACTTTCTTTTTTTCTTTAAATTCCTTTGCTACTCAAAAGTCAAAAGAACAAAAAGACGGGGAAAAGGGGACAGGGTAGTGCTATAGTTTATGCAACCACCTAAATGGCAACAACATTTACGGTAGAAATTTTCAAAAGTTTATGAGCGGGCATCACTATTTGAAAGCTACTTATTTGATATGCATGCAAAACAAAAGTACAACTAACTATATAAACCTCAACTTTCACATAAAGTTGGCTATAATGATGTGAAAACAGGAGTAATTGTTTCACACATATGAACAAATTATAGATAGAAGCATCAAGCCATTCTTTTATAAAGGATATATGCATGCCAATCAAGTTAAAAAAACTTCCAGTTGACAAGAAATGGTGCCAGGGTCAAATATTTTCTAGAACAAAAAACTTATGAGTTCACATGACACCATGCATTATTATCGGAAGTAAAAGGAGAAAGCAATGCATAGGTACAAAGTATAATATAGATTTACTATTACGCAACATGGATAATTTGCATCTAATTTTCTAGATCTTTCCATATTCGCTCTACTTCTTTACGTCATTATCTCTCTGTTGGCCAAATACTAAAGAAACTTTTCTCTCAACTACTGAATCTGGTTTCTTGAGCGACATAAAGGTCTTTTCTTCTATGAATTTGCATAGATTTTGCATTTGAAAGCCACTCAAACAACGTCGTAATTTGGAAAATCACAAGGTTATTGTTAATCTATGTTCTAGATTTCAGTGCAAATAAAAAAATTTGATGCTAACAATATTACACATGTTGTTTTTTATAAAGCAACTTAAAATAAACTTCTGGTACAAACTAGGGAAAGAGCTATTCTATTTTGAATGGAATGCAGTTATCTGATTTCTTCCATCAAAGTGGGAGTCAAAGCAAGGTATAGAATGCACTCTCTCCACACAAAAAGGAAGAAGACAGAATCTTAATCCCAAGTCTCAAATCATATAATTCTTGGTGTGATACTGTAATTTGCACATTCATTCCTCAAAATTTCCAAATAAAATTTAGACACTACAAAATTTTAGAAAATGTTCGAAAAAATCATCATCAAGAAAAACTACAATATTGTAGGACTCCTTAAGTACTAACAGTGTCTTATAAAAAGGAAAGCCTCGAGTTATTTTTACTTTCTTTTCCTGTTACAGATTTCATTTATTCAATCAAAAAAATGCACTTTCTTGATCTTATTTTCTAAATACAGTCAGACCTCTCTATAACAACATCCATATATAACAACACTTCACTATAAAAGGCAAGTTTTTTCGAAACCAATTTTTATGTTATGTTATAATATATGTTCTCTATAACAACACTTCGCTATAATATACAAAAATATTCGGAACAAACGAGGCTGTTATAGAGAGGTTTGATCGTAGTTGCATGCATTTTCTTCGGGAGTACTATGATAGTATTTCCAATGTGACCGCAGCAACAATAAATTGGAAGAGTTTAAGTTTGTGTAAGAAATAGTTACACTACAAGATCAGTTAAAAGGTAATTGCTGGTAGCTATGTTTCAAAAAATAGATTGATAACTAGAATAAACAGTAATGGTGTGAAAAATTCATCACACTTTCAATGCATATAACTTAATTTTTAATTTGAATACAACAGCCGAAAAAAATAAAAATAAAAATAAAGGATCATTTAATTGATAATTAATTACCTTGCTGCCACCGTCAATGAGGATAGGATGATCACAGAGGTGCAAGTAAAGCTCTTTCTTCGAACCAACCGCGAGTAAATCTAGACCGTCAATGGACCGGGAAATGATGTCACCATAATCCGGCGGCAAAAACCGTTCCCAAACGGCGTCAGATTCAGCAGCCGACCGGAAAGTTGAAGCCACAACCGAAAGCCGGCACGCGTCCTTCGGACTCGTTAACGATAGCGCGTTAGCTATGCAACCTTCCGGCAGTTCGTCGCCGCCGGCGAAAATTTCATAGCTCTCCACCGCCATTTGCTATATATATTTATAAGTATATGTGTATGTCTGTATATATAAAGATTGTTGGGTGTCGGTATAGTTATTTGTTAAGATAGAGAAGAGTATATCTATATCGGGTGAGTACGAATCTGAGCGGGGCGGAGAGATTCTATTTATAGGAGAGTTATGCTTAAAAGAAGATGTTTTTCTTTTTTTAAATTTCTTAATCGGTTGCATGATTTCCTTGCTAAGTAATCTAAAGCTATTTCCTTTTTCGTTTTCTTTTTTTATGTATAAGGTTGCATAATGTTTCCGTATTCACTGATCTCTTCATATTCATTGTATCTCTTAATATCCTTATACTCTCTAGTTTTAGTTTTATACCACATTATTACAATATTTTTTCTCTTTTTAATTTTTTTTTAATTATATATAGGGCGCATGGAAAAAAAATAGATAAGAGATTACAAGGCGGGGAATCAAACATTCACCAACAAGGTGAAAGTTCATGTAGTCAACCAATTGAGCTATTATTAAGTTTTCCTATTACAATATTATCATTTGTAAAGTCAAACAAATTTCCTATTTAACCATAACTTTTTTCTTATATCTTTTAAATATTTTTAATTATAAAAAAGTTGTAATTTATAATACTCAGGGGCGGATGTAGATTATAGAGACGGGTTCAACTGAACCCATAATATTTTACGCGGAGCATAAATTTATTTGTAAAAATTTACTAAAATTATATCAAATAGTAGATATGAACATATAACTTTAAAAATATAATATGTTCAATGCTAAGAGCCTCTGATAATACGTACTTGATACTTAGAGTTTAATTTCTAAATACATAAATTTTATTTTATTTTAAAAATCAAAAATAGAAGTTCAAATTGACACTGAAAATTAGAAAATTTAACTCTTGAATTTCAACCCCCTCTCCCGAAATCATTTCTTTTTGAAATGGAAGAAATAGTTCAAAAATCCCTGCCAGAAGATGTGTGTAGTATGCTAGCTGATGTGGGTGACTGGGGTCGTTTGGTAGGATGTATTACGGAAAATAATATTTGTACTAATAACTTTAATATTATTAATTTCTTATTTGATAATATTTTTTAATTTATATATAATTAATATATGTATTAGTTATACATCATATTTAGTACTATTCTTATACATTGAAAACTATGACATTTATCATAATTTTTAATATACGGATAAGCATATATTCCTTTCAAAATCTTTTCTAAATCCTTTCCAAGGTGTAGACAGTTCATTTTCTTGGTTTTCATTCTCTATATTTATATAGTATGGATCACTTCATTTCTATTTTATCAAGATGACAATTTTTTTCGCAGATAGTTTAAGTGAGAATATCAAGTTTTTTTGTTTTCGTTTTTAAGAAGGAATAACTAAAGCTTTGCAGAGAAAGTATATAAAGTTAAAGAATGTGGAGGGTATTTTTGTAAAAAGTTATTTAAAAAAAAATAATTATGCAATGCATATTATTTTTAATATATCAAAATCAAACAATCGATGATAAATAATCTAGTATAATTAATTTCAGCATTACGAATCTCAACATTATTAATACATTCCATTTAATACTATTCTTATACATCACACGACTCTTTTAACAGACACAAGTATGGACTATAATAGTTACGAGCTCCTTTAGTATTAACGCAATCTCCCTTTTTCTCAACAACAACAACAACCAAAAAAAAAAAAAAAAAAAAAAAAAAAAAAAAAAGAGAAGGGAAATGAGAAAAAAGACATGATGGGAATCAAACACGAAGGTGTAACGTAGCCGTTTTACCACAGAGATACACTCAATTCTCAATGTTGAAATTTGAAAGTTTACAATTTGTCATAATCAGACACTAAACAAGTGGATCAAATAAGATGGATACTCATATTTAGAAGTGTGTGCCAAATGGGAGTCCAGAACCCAAAATATTGTCTAATTAGACTCCGGCGATAAAATTATGGCCGAAAGAAAAAGGAGAGACAAAAATATGTATAACGCATCAATTTGATGCGCTATATATCTCCTCTTTCTTGGTTCTTGAAATACACATGACACTGAAAATGCAGATAAAGTATATTTAATGTACTGAAAGAAAAGCAAAGTATTATGTGGTGTAATGGTATGAAATTTGTTTTGGCCTTAGGTTCAAGGTTCGATTCCTTCCGCCAATAATATTTTATTTTTCTATTTCTTTTTCATTTTCATTTCTTTTCATTATTTAGTTTAAGTATTTAGATATAAATACTTTAATATTTATAATTACTTTTCAATGTAATTAAAATAATTTAATATATATTAGAAAATTATAATTTTTGAATTCATTTAAAGTTAAAAAAAAAGAAGAGAGAAGCCTTTTATTATTTCGTTAAAAAATCTACCGATATTTTTAATAGTTGTTATTTTGTATTATACGTAAAATAAAATTATTTTTTTCTCTTTTTATTTTCAAATTAGAATTATGAGTTTTATTTTATTGTTAAAATTTTCATAAGAGAATAATATATAAAATTTAATATATTGCTTGAATTTTTTTTATTTTTTGATATTTTTCTTTTTACATTTAGTTATTAAAATTTTAGTTATATTTACACTATATGAATTTTATTAATCGAAATTCTAGTTTGTTATAAAATAAAGACAGTAAAGTAAAGACAAGTATAGAGAGAAACTGATATATTATTCAAAGTTCAAACTTATGTACATAATGAACTGAATTCTCCTCTATTTATAGAAGAAAGGAAGTTGTTGTGTAAGCTGCTGCTGCAAGCTGCTTGTAAGCTGCTACTCTAAGTTGTTGTGCCAGATATAGATAATCTTCTACCATGAGTAATATTTATCCATAACGGAGTACCGAAAGGATAAGCTTCTTCAGGAGGCTTATTTTCAATAGAGTATTAAATAGATAAACATATTTACGGCGGAGTCTCATATGGATAAGCTTCTTCAGGAAGCTTATTTACAACAGAGTACTAAATGAACATCCATAATATAATATATTTATAACATTCCCCCTTGGATATTCATTAAAAGATAATGTGCCTCATTAAAACCTTACTAGGAAAAAATCTCGTGGGAAAATAATCCTAGTGAAGGAAAAAGAGTACACATATTTAGTAATACACATTGCTAGCTGCCTCATTAAAAACCTTATAAGGAAAACCCTGTGGGAAAAAACCTTAGTAAGGAAAAAAGAGTACATCGCGTATTTTACTCCCCTTGATAAAAATCTTGTTTTAAATATTTAAGTCTCCGCATTCCAATCTTGTATACCATCTTCTCGAAAGTTGAAGTTGGTAAAGATTTAGTGAATAAATCTGTCGGATTGTCACTTGAACGGATTTGTTGCACATCAATATCACCATTTTTCTGAAGATCGTGTGTGTAGAATAATTTTGGTAAAACGTACTTCGTTCTATCTCCTTTTATAAATCCTCCCTTCAGTTGGGCTATGCATGCAGCATTGTCTTCGTATAAAATTGTGGGTCTTTTCTCACATTCCAAAACACATTTTTCTCGAATAAAATGAATTATTGATCTCAACCATACGCATTCCCTACTTGCTTCATGAATAGCTATTATTTCAGCATGATTTAAAGAAGTAGCAACAATAGATTGCTTTGTGGAGAGCCATGATATGATAGTACCTCCACATGTAAAAACGTACCTGGTTTGAGATCTAGCTTTATGGGGATCATATAAATAACATGCATCTGCATAAACTGACAAGATCTGAACTATCATTGTTAGCATAAAACAAACCCATATCAAGAGTTACCTTTAAATATCGCAATATATGCTTAATCCAGTTTCAATGTCTCTGTGTAGGAGAAGAACTATATCTTGCTAGTAAATTAACAGAAAATGCTATGTCAGGCCTTGTAGCATTAGCAAGATACATTAGTGCACCAATTGCACTGAGATAGGGTACTTCGGGACCAAGGAGTTCCTCATCCTCTTCTGGAGGTCGGAACAAATCCTTATTCACTTCAAGTGATCGAACAACCATTGGTGTACTCAATGGGTGCGCTTTGTCCATGTAAAAGCGTTTTAAGACCCTTTCTGTATAGGCAGATTGATGGATAAAGATCCCGTCTGCTAAATGTTCAATTTGCAGACCAAGACAAAGTTTTGTCTTTCCAAGATCTTTCATCTCAAATTCTTTCTTAAGATATTCAATTGCCTTTTGGAGCTCTTCTGGAGTTCCAACAAGATTTATGTCATCAACATAAACAGCAAGTATAACAAATTCTGAAGCCATTTTCTTTATAAAAATACATGGACAAATAACATCATTTATGTAACCCTCTTTCAGCAAATATTCACTGAGGCGATTATACCACATGCGCCCAGATTGCTTTAAACCGTACAAAGATCTTTGTAATCTGATTGAGTACATTTCCCGATATTTTGAATATGCTTCAGGAATTTTAAATCCTTCAGGGATTTTCATGTAAATTTCATTATCAAGTGATCCGTACAGATAAGCTGTAACCATATACATTAGATGTATTTCAAGCCTTTCACGTAAGGCTAAACTGATGAGATGTCAAAATGTTATGGCATCCATAACTGGTGAATATGTTTCTTCATAATCGACTCCATGTCGTTGTGAGAATCCTTGTGCAACAAGGCGAGCTTTGTATCTTTCAACTTCATTTTTATCATTCCTTTTTCGCACAAAAACCCATTTATGACCAACTGGCTTTATACCAGCAGGTGTTTGGACTACTGGTCCAAAGACCTCTCTTTTAGCAAGTGACTTCAATTCCGATTGAATTGACTCTTGCCATTTTGGCCAATCAGATCTTTGTCGACATTCTTCGACAAATCGGGGTTCAAGATTCTCACTATCTTGCATAATGTTAAGTGCAACATTATATGCACAAATATTATCCACCACTATTTCATATCAATTTAAATTAATCCCATCACTAGTATAACTTATTAAAAGTTCCTCACTCACTTGACTCTAAAGTTTATTTATTTCTTCAGGAATCTCAGAACTAATCAGATCTTGGGTCTCTTCAGGAGATCCCTTCATAATATCATTTTGATCATTTGTCGATTTTCTTTTTCTAGGATTTCGATCCTTAGAACCCAAAGGTCTACCATGCT